GAAGCAGCCCTCAACAACACCCACCCTCCAAACCACCTGCTTCGGCCTCGCTTCTGAAATAGGCAAACTGAGGCAGGGTCCGTGGATGCTCAAGGTGGGGCAGTGCCAAAGGCAAGGAGGGAGAAACACTGGGGAAAGAGGGTGGCTGGAAACTGCTCCAGAGCACCTGTGACCCCCCAACACCCCCATGCACAGAGGGACTGTGATCGCACAGGCAGTGAGACAGCGCTGGGGGATGGAGATGCTCAGAGACAGAGCCAGCGGGACCCACTCCCCCTCACCACCCCAAGCCCCACATTTTGGACTCCCAGGAGCACTAGGGACACCGATACAACACCCCAGCCCGTTATAGTTTCAGCCCTGCCTTTCAAGCCAAGCTGTTGCTCGGTCATAAACCCATGCTGAGCGGCAGCTGTCAGGAGGGCAGGGCTGCTTTGCAAGGCTCCCGGTGGCCCTCACCGCACCCCAGCTGTTGTGTAAACAGCACCCGGAGCAGCAAAGGGAGGGCAGGCAGGGCTCTGCTGCCTGCACCGGGCTCTTTGTGGTGAGGGGGCGGGGTGAGGGAAGGCAAGGGAGACCCGCCCCCTGCCCCTGCTGCGCTCCCCCAGGCAGGGGGTGGTGATCAAAGGCAGCACTTGAGGCGGGACTCCAGAAAATAATTTATATCCAAGATCGAAAAATTTAATTGTTTTTCTTTACAGCAGAGAGGGTCTTGGCCATAAAACACAGGGAGTACGGAGCAGCTTCAGACACTACAGGACCAGGGACTGACAGGGCTGTCTTCATGCCAGGGCAGGGACACAGACCAGCCCCTGCCTCTATTAGGGAACAGCACAGTGACAGGGTCAGGACTGGCAGAAAATGGGTGTAGAGGTAGACACATCCCCCTGGGATGGTGCAGTTACCACCTACAACACCATGTCTGGGCACCAGCCCCAGTTCAACAGAGTGATGCAGGGGGGCACCAGCCAGCCCCCTGCCCCGCCATCCCCCACGCAGAGACAGTGTGGGAAAGATACAGCACCCACCCACGAGGGTTTATCAAGGCAGCGGTGTGCCACTGCCAGATCAGCAGCCCTGACCAGCCCATGTCACTTTATCTCCAACTGGCATCAGCTAAACAGATCAAGCAGCTCATTCTCTCCTCCTCCCCCTTCAGAAAACACTCCAAATCTCTATGTACAGGCTCAATGTGCCATATCAGTAAAAAAATATACACATAAACTCTATAGATCCCAGCTCAGTAGATCAAAACACAGCTATAAATCACAGTGCACAGGACAGCATCAGGCCCAGGGAGCGATGGGGTCCCCCCACAGAGAGAACAGCTTGTCACAGAGGCACTCTGGCACAGGGGGGGTTGCAGATCATCCTCCTGCCTCGTGGGGTCACTTCTGATCCAGATGGCAGTACAGGTACATGGAAACCACCAAGGACGCAATCTGCAAAAAAGCAATGTCAGTCCCCTCCAACTGTCCCACCCCAGCATGGGTTTGGGTCACAGCCCATAGCATCCATCCCCAGCGCACACAAAGGAGGAAGAGGTAAGTGTGCCCAGAGAAGAAGGCTCAGTAACCACCCCAGGGCAGACAGTGGTCCATGGGATTGCACCAGCCCCCCTGCAGCCCCTTGGCCACCCAGACTGGTCCCAGGCCCACCACTTGCCTCCAGGTACAAGAAGGAGGAAGCAGCACAGCAATTCTCAGGCACTCACCTCCAAGGCAGCAATGCCAGCTGCCACACCACCCACCACACCTGCATTAGTCTTGATTTCGTGTAAGATTTGTTTGAAACAACCCTGTAGGAGAAAACCACACAGGTGAGGACAAGCAAGGGGTAGCGATTCCCCAAACATTGGGGCACAACACACCCAGAAAGGGAAGAACCATTCTCCAGCCAAGAACTGCACAGCCTGGGGCCTTCAAGGGGCAACTCAGCCACTTCTCAAGACAAAGCCAAGTAATGGAGGGGGTAGAGGAGGGGAGGAGGTAGGGAAATCACCCAAAAAGGTAGAGTGGTGCCTGGGTTCACGGTCAGCTCCAGGCATGCCACCCTGCTGCAGAGCTCCCCGTAGGACCAAAGCAAGAGTAGCAGCTTTGCTTGTCTCCACAAGGCACAAGCCAAGGCCACCACAGCATCCCTCAGGACTTAAAGCCCATGAGACCACTATGCCCAGAGCTGAGGCTAGAGCTACAGGACAGTTTTCCCTCCTTGTGCCAAGGCACACTCCAAATCAGGCTCTGACAGAAGGCAAGAACTGCTGGTGCATTTGTACCGTGACATTTTTTTGCGCGGCGAGCGTGTCAGTGCAGGGCATCACGTCAGCGCAGCAGGGTGCTGGGTAGGTTCCGTGTTCATGCAACCAGGAGGAACTGTTGAAGTCTGTGTAGTTATTCAGACCACAGCAATGGACCTAAGAGGGAGAGAGGAAGGAATGAGAACACCCTGCAAATCTCCCTCCTGGATCAGGCATGATCTGGACCCTGCTGTCCCATGGAGGGGGTCATCCAGCTCAACCCAGCTCTAGAGGGGTGTTCAGTGGCCTTCTTGGGACCAGGATGTTGTCCCACACTCCAGCATGTACAGCTCTCACCCCAGACATGGGACCATTAGATCCCAGGCATTTGGGAAGCTGACAGGGCGGCACTCACCTCGAACATCCAGAATTGTGATGGTGTCCCCATTCCCATCCCACTGGCAACCCCGGGTGTGCACCACCGAGCCTTTGCTGGGAGCACCCCGACCCACATGTGGGGGCCACAGGGCTCAGCACACCTCTGTCATGGTGAGGTTCCAGATGTGCGTGAAACTCTTATCCACCCCATACTTCTCCTTCAGAAGAGGCGTTAACACAGTCGTCAGCAGTGTCTCTGCCTGGAAGAAGAGGCAGAAAAACACCATCAGAGAAGGTCCTGGGGAGGACCACAGAGCTGAGAGCCCTCATACTGGTCTCAGCCCATGGGGCAGAGACCAACCACACCCAGCACGGCCAGGAGCAAATCATACCATGTCCTTTTGGACAACTTCACCCCTTCCTCACTAACCAGTCCTTTACAGCTCCAAGGCCATTTATGACCAGTGAGTCATCTGATAAGCAGCATAATTGATGGAGCCAGGAATGATGTTTGCCCTGCGGTTGGCTTCTCCAGTGCGTAATGAGGCAGTCACCTCTCTCCTCAGGTGGTTTCTCAGGTGCCTAATAAGGGGTTGAGTTTGCTCAGCATAAGGCATTGGGGATTTCCTCACCTGTGTAGCTCCTACCAGAGGTGGAGAGGTGTCAAGCCTAGGCTGGTACTAGACTAAAGGGTTTGAAAGAAAGAAGCTGGCAAAACTTGTACCATAACCCTCATTTCTTTAAGGCAATGAGAATCCCTGTTCCCACCAGTCTCACCTTGGCCAGGCCACCCCAACCTGCCCACGTAGGCGGTGCCAGCAGGAACCAGCATCCCTTCCTCCTGCAGCCGTGCCCACCTCTCATCTTCCCCACCCAAGGGCAGCACTGCCAGCCCCAGCATTCCTGTTTTCCCAGGGGCAGTAGACGTCCCAGATTAGCCCAACCCAAGACTCAGATATGCCACTCACAAGACCTGTGTAGACCAGGGCCACCACAGCAGCAGCAATTTCAGCAATGAGGATTATCAGCACCACCGAGAAGAACTAGGATACAGCAATGGGAAGAAGGTCAAAACAACAGCCAGAGTCCACAGTGCCCTCAGGAACTCATCTGCTCCCCAAGGGGTGCAGGACCCTATCTCAGGACTCAAGCCCTGTCTCAGTACCTTCAGCTCTACTTCAAGGCAGAAGCAACACAACCTTGGGTTCCTCCAACCCTCCACCTACATGTGGCTGAGCTCTCCAGACATGCTCCAAGAGAGACCTTTGCTCAGCACCAGCTTCTGCTTCTTTTCACCCTTGCCCAGAGCAAACTTTGGGTCCAACATTGCCTTTTCAAGGTCCACCCAACCTTCCCAAGGCCCGCTCAACTTTCCACCACTTGGCAACATCCCAAGAGCACATCTCCACAGATAAATGTGGCCCCCAGATCTCCCCCACTAGAAACCTAGCTCAAATGAAGGAGATAAATCAGGTCCATACCATCATCAGGAGACATTTGCTCTCCTTCTGGGCACCACAGCACCCAAGGAAGCCAATCACCAGCAAGATGGCACCGATGGCAATGAGGAAGTAGCTCACATTCACAACCTGCAGGATGCTAGAGGAAAGCGGCCCAAATATGTCCAGGAATGACTGTCCATCCACTGTGGCCCAGATGCCAACTCCCAGGAGGGTCCCACCACCAAGCTAGGAGGAGAAAGACAACATCAGCTCACAGGCAGGCAGAGGTCTGGGATTTGGGGACGGTCCTGGCACAGGTGTTTCTCCCCTCTGCAAGTTTTTGCCATATAAAAGCAAGACTTTGTGCCACTGAGGTAGCTCACGGCCTTGCTGCTGCAGGTTTGGGATAGCCAGGTGGGTCATTACCCCGAAACACACCCCACCACCAGCATATCCCCAGCTGCGGCATCACAGATGCTCCCTTCCCCAGCCCAGGGGGTTTTGGTGCCAGCAGCAACCCTTGCACATGGTGGCTGAGCCAGCAGAACCATGGACCACCTCCTGACCCCAGAGGGGCAACAGGCAGCTGGCTCAGACATTGGCCACCATCATGAGTTCCTGCAGCCAGGGAGGCTGCCGCTCACCCCAGGGAGCGGCCCCTGGCACCAGACACTTCCACACGCCCGGCAAGGGTAGCTCAGGGCTGCCTCCAGCCCACCCCAGCCCTGCCCTTCACCTGCTCAACCTTCCCCACCAGCCCCAAGCCCCAGCAGGAGCTTTAGGGAGGGAGTGCTTCGGCAGGGCGAGCCTGGGGGCTCCACACCTCCCCTTCCCAAGGCTACATCCTGCTGCATCCCCTTCTAGGTGGCTCCATTGCTTCCACAGAGCCAGGGTAGCTCTCAGGAGCTCCCCATCCTCTGCCCTGGCTGGGAGCAGAGGCTGTGTGTGCTCTAGAGAACCTCAAAACCGCAGGTCACTATCACACTCATGGGCTGCTCCTCTGTAGAGGCAGAGCCCCCCAGGCAGGGACTCAGGAGACCCCCCTGAGCTGGGGCACCCAGAGCTTCAACACAGGGAGGGACATGGGTAGCTGATGCAACAGCCCCTGTCCCCAGAGGCCAGCACGATCCCATGGTTTTTGGCCAGAGCTGGAGAGTGAGATTCCTGCAAAGTCCTCAGCTTGGGGCCAGAGACCAGACCTGACATCCCACCGGATGTGGTGGGGCAGGAGAGCCCACCTGGGCAGGATTCACCCACCCACACCCAGCTCAGGGCAGCTGCCCCCGCAGCCCCCAGCCCTTCACCCCAGTTTCCCAACGCAGCTGCAGGGGCTGCCACGCTCGGACCCTCCGCGCAGAGACAGCGGCCGGAGCACACTTACGAATATGGCCAGGTTGAAGAGGATCATCATGACCTTGATAAAAGTGAAGAACCCCATCTTGGCACCTGGGGAGAGCAGAGAGGGTGTCAGGGAAGAGCTCCCAGCTCAGCACAGGTG